GTTCCTCTGTTATTTCTTAAGACTTTCATTGGTTGAAGGCTGACCAATCACTGAGCTATTTAAGACGATGAAACAACAATAAATGTTCCTCTGTTATTTCTTAAGGCTTTCATTGGTTGAAGGCTGACCAATCACTGAACTGTTAAAGACGATGAAACAACAATAAATGTTCTTCTGTTATTTCTTAAGACTTTCATTGGTTGAAGGCTGACCAATCACTGAACTATATAAGACGATTAAACAACAATAGATGTTCTTCTGTTATTTCTTAAGACTATCATTGGTTGAAAGCTGACCAACCACTGAACTATTTAAGACAATGAAAGTGGTTACAAAGAGAAAAATTATCTTATTGTTATTATTCCTTCTGTTTCCAGTTTTCCCTTTCTATTCTGTTTCTTGACAACCTCTCTTTGTGATCGCTTAAGCTACGACAGGAATCACATTGTGACTGTATCTCTAACGTTTCGGTTTCAACATTGTGACTCTATCTATAATGTTTCGGTTTCAACATTGTGACTGTATCTATAACGTTTCGGTTTCAACATTTTGATCGTATCTAAAACGTTTTGGTTTCAACATTGTGACCGTATCTAAAACGTTTCGGTTTCAACATTGTGACTGTATCTATAACGTTTCGGTTTCAACATTGTGACCGTATCTATAACGTTTCGGTTTCAACATTGTGACTGTATCTATAACGTTTCGGTTTTAACATTGTGACCGTATCTATAACGTTTTAGGTTCAACATTGTGACTGTATCTATAACGTTTTGGTTTCAACATTGTGACCGTATCTAAAACGTTTTGGTTTCAACATTGTGACTGTATCTATAACGTTTCGGTTTTAACATTGTGACCGTATCTATAACGTTTTAGGTTCAACATTGTGACTGTATCTATAACGTTTTAGGTTCAACATTTTGACCGTATCTATAACGTTTCGGTTTCAACATTGTGACCGTATCTAAAACGTTTTGGTTTCAACATTGTGACTGTATCTATAACGTTTCGGTTTTAACATTGTGACTGTATCTATAACGTTTTAGGTTCAACATTGTGACTGTATCTATAACGTTTCGGTTTTAACATTGTGACCGTATCTATAACGTTTTAGGTTCAACATTGTGACTGTATCTATAACGTTTCGGTTTCATGTAAACATCACACCTTCCAACGTTACACTGGCAACCAAGATTAGGGTTAACTCAGTCATCATTTTAGTGTATGTTGACTGCCATAAGTAAATTACTTTCACCAACATCTCGGCAAAATTGGTGGAAGAATTTATTTTAAAACAAGAGACATTGCAGATCCTCGAGCTGCACACCCTCGTGACGCCGCAAATGTTTTGATTCAACGTATGCCTGAAATTCGGTCCTAATCCGGTCACTTTTTACACGGTTACTATCAACAAACTGACAAACTGCTCTATATCTACATTATAAAAAAATGTTTCAAAGTGATCCAGAATCGGGACCAGATCTGTAGAGGACCGTCCAAGCTCTTATAAAAAAATCACGGAAATCGGTTTATTATTTATCGAGATACGCGCCCAGACAGACATACATACATGTACATACGAACACACAAACACAATACACTCGCCCTTCGAAAACACTGACATTGAATTATCATTACAGAGTAATTGGGATGTTTCTTTATATTTTGTTGCATGGATATTTTGATGAGAGATACATACACTCATTTTTTATAAGATTGACTCCTAATTTTAGGGTTAGGAATGATAATAAAATTTATATTTTAAAAAGTATGTACAGCTGAGAAGGGCGGTTTAAAGTTTATGTTCTGTTTGGTTTTGGTTTTGCTACATCGTTAAATGTCTAATAAATAACTATAAGAAGGATTAGTACAAAATTAAGAGTAACAAATCTCTTTATTTCTTGCTTTTGAAGTTCATATGCTAAGCCTTGTTGTAGCTTACAAAAATCCACAATTCTTCTCGTGATTCATGGCACGTGTACGTTTTACTGACGTCACAACAGTACAAATTGCAACGTTAAGCGTCCCGTATGTGGCGTCATTTTAGTGTCTACTGACAGACAACACACTACTGTATAGTGGTGCGAGTGGTTAAAACAGGGGATTTCTCCAGGGGGGCCTTTGGCCCTCATTGGGGAAAATTATGTTTATATGTTGAATTTAGTCACTGTTATAAACAGGAGTAAACAAGTACAATGAAATGACGCGATATGTGTGATGTTGAATTTAGTCTTCGTATAAACAGAAATTAATGAGTACATTATATATATCATATACGCAATGTATGTACTGAATTTAGTATGTTTGTTTCTTGTTTCGGACAAAGCTACGTAATCAGCTTTCATTTGATAGGCCATCACAGGGATCGAACCCCGAATGTTACCATTAGAAGCCCTCAAGCTTGCCTCTTGAAACGACTTCTTGCAAATTATACGATCATATAATAAGCAAAAAAAATTATTGTCACTATTGTAGAAAAAAGGTTAATCTTGTCACTATTGTTGAAAAAAGGTTAATCTTGTCACTATTGTAGAAAAAAAGGTTAATCTT